ACGGTCGGGTGCGAGCGCGTGGGGTGGAGGAGGTGGGCAGGGTGGTGTGGAATCGGCGGCAACGTTGGCGGCGTGGTTCGGCCGGTCAACCAGCTGGATGTTGAAGGAGAGACCGATAGATGGGCCCCACCTGTCGGCGGCTCAGGAGAGAGGAGGGAGGTTGGGTGGACTTTGAGGGAGAGGGGAGCCAAGCGGGCTGGGGAGGCATGGGCTGGCGGAGGGAAAGGAGAGGGGGCTAGCTTGAGAGAGAGGAGAGGAAGGAGGAGCGAGTGGGCCGAGGGATAGGAGGCAGACTTGGGCCGGAAACGCCCCAAGGACAAGGAAGGAGAATTTTAATTATTTTTTCTTTTTATTTAATTGATTAAATGAACTTTGTGCTTTTTTTTCTTGAGCTCCAAAATTCACGGGAAATTTCATAGACTAGTCTAGGGCATGGAGAATATTTAAAAAATATTTCTAGCCATGATTTTTAAAGGAAATTTTTAATTCTCTCGTTAATTCACTTGATTAATTTGCTTTAAATTTTAATATAATTTCTAGGAATCCCTAACAAAAATCGGGGCATGACAGAGGTGGCCCAGAAGTTCAGCCGAACTGGGAGTTTGCCCGAACTAACTTCAGCTCCTCTCGTCATCTGCTTCCACGTGTATGCTCTTGATGACTCCCGAATGGCGGTTATGACGGTTTCCCCAAAGTTATCGACTTAAACCACCGTCATTGAGTGCTATAACACTACTACAAAATGGAATTTTCCTGGTGGCCAGATTAGGTTTTCTACGGCGGCTAATACTTCCGGGAGCAACTAATGCCCAGTGAAAATACATCATTTTCACCTGTGGCCACCAGCCGCTAGCAAAAAATCATTTTCACTGGCGGGCGACCTAGCCCAGTCGCCAACGGAAGTGGTTTTCGCTGGCGGCTACATTAAGCCGATCATCTGCGAAAGTCCGATTTTTGCAGGCGGCTAGTTAAGAAAACTGCCAACATAGATGGATTTTGGCAAAAAAAAAAAACCCCACATGCATGCAGCTGCCCATTTCCATGTATCAAACACGACATTCAAATCAAATCATTCCATTTCCACATATCAAACATGAAATTCAAATCAAATCATCTGCATCAAATGGAAGAACAGTAAAAAAAATTTCATCACTGCAACCCTCCCAAGCGTATCCCTGAATTCACAAGAATCTTAGCCGCCATGGACGAGCTTGCTGATGACCTTGGGGTTGCTGAAGCCACTGTGGATGAGCCACCGCCGAAGCCACCTCTCTATTTTGCTGTCGCCATCCATCGGCTGCTTCCCCTCTGGATAGATCTAGAAGGGGATAGGAGGGGATGGGAGGGCGGGGGGAGGGGGCGCCACTGCTCATTCTTCTGCGCTGCCGACCATTGCCGCCGTCACCAAGAGCTCCTCACGAGGGAGTAGCTGTCACCAAGAGCTCCTCGCGAGAGCAATTGAGGGGGAGGGTGAGAGAATGAGGATTCAGAGAGAAGTGGAGAGAGAGGGTGATTTAATACTCCTCGCGTGCCTGGCAGCACCAACTTAAATATGACAGAATTTTTTTGAACGGTCCTCTTTTGTAGCCGTAAGTAAAAATTGATTTTACCCTCCAATATATTCTTACAATTGTGTGTTTATTAGACCCGCCAGTAAAAATAAAAGTGTGGTGTCATGAAAAATGATTTTTTAGTAGTGTGAAAGGTGGAGAAGCTCTCACTCTCAACACACACAACTCAAGTGGAGTATAACTCAATTTAATATCTATCTATTATATTATTAAAACATCTTTGAAAGGAGTAACCACGTTCACTGTGGGGGGGCTAGAAATTCCCACATTAATCGAATAAAAAGAAAAGAAGAGTCCAAGTAGAAATACAATTTAAAAATAGCTGAAATTCAGAATTAAAATAAGCAGTATTGAAAAAGAGTCCATATAATAACCCAATACGAGATTAATCAAAATTTAGAATAAAAATAAAATAAAATCTAAAATTAGAAAAGAAAATGAGAGTCCAAGTAGGAATACAATTTAAAAATAACTGAAATTCGGAATTAAAAATAAGGAATATTGAGAGAAGAGTCCATATAAGAACCCAATACGAGATTAATTAATATTTGGAATAAAAATAAAAAAGGTCTGAAATTAGAAAAAAGAAAAGAAGAGTTCAAGTAGGAATACAATTTAAAATTAACTGAAATTCAGAATTAAAAATAAGCAATATTGAAGGAAGAATCCATATAAGAACTCAATACGAGATTAATTAAAATTTAGAATAAATAATAAAATAATACCCTAAATTAGAAAAACTAAAAGAGAGTTCAAGTAGGAATACAATTTTGAAGCAACTGAAATTCAAAAATAAAAAATAAAAATATTAAAAGAACACTATACGGTATTAATTAAAATTTGATTTTTTTTTCTGAAATTAGAAAAAGAAAAAAAATTCAATTAGGAATACAATTTATAAATAACTAAAATTAGTGATAAAAAATAAAGACTGTTGAAAGAAAAGGCCATCTAAAACACATGACGAAATAAATTAAGTATTAGGCCTATAAAGGAGTAGAGTGGTGGCGGTTGATAGGACATATAAAAATTGTTAATAAAACACAAAATAGAATCCTAATGATGATTAAAAGGAGGGACGACAGGCAGGCTATGAAGCAAACGGGCAAGGCGGTTGCCGGGACTTCTAGAAAGTAAAAAAATAAACCCCATTGATAATCATATTTGATTTTTAAAATCTCAAGGACAATAAAAAGGAGAAACAGTGGGCGGGATGTATAGGAGTATAGTTGCAGAGCCGCCGACGGTTGGCGGGACTTCTAGAAAATAAAAAATGAATTCCAACGATAGTTATGTTTGATTTTTAGAATCACAATGACAATAAAGAGTAGGCAGCGAATGGACCGTAGAGGAGTATAGTGACATCGTTTGACGGGACTTCTAAATATTATAAAAAATGAAACCCAACAAGACAATAAACACTAAAAACTAAAAGGTCCATTTTTTAAAGGTTCGGAACTTCTGAAAAGTAAAAAAAAAAACCCAATGATAATCATGTTTGATTTTAAACTCTCAATGATAATAAATAAGGGAGGCAACAGGCAAGCCATAAAGGAGTATAATGGCAAAGCCAGCGATGGTTTGGCGGGACTTTTAGAAAGTAAAAAATGAACCCGAATGATAATTATGTTCGATTTTTAAAAATCCCAATGACAATAAAGAGAAAAGACAATGAACGGGTCGTAGAGGAGTATAATGGCAGCGTTTGACGGGACTTCTATAAATTATAAAAACGAAACCTAACGAGACACTAAACTCTAAAAACTATAAGATCCAATTTTTAAAGGTTTCAAAAAGAATGAATAGAAATATTGGTAGATCAAGCAAGCAAATAAAGAACGATATGACAGAAGTAAGGGGTAGTAGCTGGTGTGACTTTTAAAAACTATATAATTAGAAATACGGGGATGATAAGGTTTGGTCTTTCAAAATCTTAAGACAACGATATAGCAATTTAATAAATTTTAAGTAAAATCATACTGAAAAATATATGATTTTGTTTATGTGCTAGCTACGCAATTGCGTGAGCCACCCAGCTAGTTTAGGCTACTCTCTAGTTGAGTTAGAATATGGGGAAAAAGAGAGGGGAAACTCCGAAAGGGGTGCAGCAAAGTTTGGAGTTCTCTCTAGGGGAGTTCCAGAGGAGTGCTAGGGTTATCGGCATATTTCCCCCTATTTTTACCGTATTTAAGTGTATGAATTATCATGTATATTTTTGTCAGGGTTACGGATAAGGTATACCCTTCTACCCTTGGATATATGTTGTATACCGAAACGGTATACCTGCACGTATACAGATGTTTCCTATATACATTAAGGAAATCTATTATATGATAGAAACAGAATCCACATATGGGAGAAATCCTACTTGGACAAGACTGGGTCGTTACTATATCGTGAAGGGTCCGGTACTTCTGAGTCCTACTTGGAGGACAACTGACCCGCGATATAAAAGGGACCCCCCGGGAGGATCTAAGGCATCAAATCTCACCACCAACACATCGAGCACAGCCTACGAAGCCGGAGCCTACAGGAGCCAAGTCGCCGGGTGATCTAGTCGAACCAATTCAACTACGATCTCGTCGGTATCATCGAGTTCCATTATTTCCTTTGTAATCTGTGACTTCCTTCATAAAATCCCATACCAACTGGATTAGGGCTATTACCTGTCAAGGGGCCTGAACCAGTATAATCCTTGTCTTCTATTTGCTTGATGTCGTATTACGTAGATCCTCGTACCAGCGTACCCCAATACCCTCTATATCCGGTCTACAGGTATCCCCCGTTGACAGTTTTAGCTTATAATTTGAGCCCTAGGCGTCGAGAGATACTGGTCCGCCACTAAATTGAAGGAATCCATGGCGAAATTCGACGCCGCCGTCACGCTCCGGCTCCTGACCTTGCCGGCAACCACGGCGAAGCACTTAAGCTTCACGATGAGGAAAAGGAGAGAGGAGGAAGGAGTGATGACGTGGGTTTTACTATATTTTTTTATTTGTAACCGGACACTCACCAACATGTGGGTCCTACGGTTTCTTTTATTTTAAGTGCCATGTCAACACCATGTAGACACCACGTCAATGTAAATTACCATCCAAAGCGCCTTGAGATTTTATTTGCATTAGTTTTAGGAGTTGAGAGACACGTCGTATCTGGTATTGCGGTTCATGGATAAATTTCGGATTCAGCGACAAATTAAGGAACCGAAAGTGAACTTATTACAATGTTGATTTGTTGGACCATGGCAACTTAGAGAGCTGCCTGGCCTGGCGGCGTCTGCAGAGGGGGAAGTGAGAATGCGAGCCTAGCGCCGGTTGGGCCGACTGGGCACGACGGTGACCGGGCTGGGCCTGAGCGAGAAGCCCAATCGAGGAGCAAAGTTTGGCTGGGCCTGGATCCAGCATTCCGCACGAGGAATATTTCCGCTCCCCGTCCGCTCGGCGTCGACTCCGAGTCTCCGACTCGTCGTGAGTTCGCCCGCTGTCTCCGTCTCCGCCGCCGCCTCCGCCTGCGCGGATCCCCATCCATCCCGCGAGCGAGCAGGGGCGCCGTCGTTCGTCCTGCCCTCTTCCGCCGCATCCCGGTGAGCATCCACTTGTTACGCACATCCTCCTTCTCATCTCTCTCTACCCACGCACTTTTTTTTCTCGAATTTGCGTCAACCCTAGCTTCAAGTTCTAGAAAATTTGCCTTAACCTTAATACTAACCTCAGTTTGTTTGTTCCCAAAATGTTTGGGTGTTCAACTGAATCCCCATGTCCCATGTTAGATCCGCCCCCTGATTTTTGTATGTGTACAAACAGTAGTAGCGTGGAATGGCCGTGATCTTGTTTGATATCTTGTGAGATTTTGAGACCATTTGTAGAATAATTGGTAGTACGTAGTTGGATGGCTATGGTTCAACCGTTTAGGATATGGGTATATTTTTGATGCGGGAACGTGTAACACATGCCTTATTTTAGTGCGTTTGTTTTTTGCTGAGAACGTTTGTAGATTCACGATCTCTTGTTTGTTCATGACCAACTCAAGAACATGTAGACAAATCCGAAATTTAAGAGACATTTTTTTCTAGGTTCTCCCTGACATGACTTTGCCAGAAAGCATTTAGAGAGCTGGAATTTAAGTTCTCTTTTCAGTTCATATGAGAAACAACATTATTCTTGTGCATGCCATTTTCTTCTATCTGTACAAGCTTTATTATGCCATTCTTCAAGGAATGGTTGTTGATTTGGAAATAACTGCAGCATGTGTGCCCACTGTATGTGCTTATATGACCTGACAGGTTATTTGCTCTTTTTAGTTGTACATACATTGGATATGCCATAAACTAGATACATAAACAAATGACACCTAAAGGGTATGCCATATATTCAGTTTAACAGTAATAGTGGTTACCGAGTAATTGAGACAGAAACAGGTTAAGTTGGTGTGCTCAGAAAATCCAAATGACTCTCATCCTATTGGTGAATATTTTATGATCTGATGAATCATTGGTGAAAAGTGAATGTAAGACCCACAGAAGCAATATGGTATAGTTACACTGGGCCTTTTGTAATCACTAGCGGAAGGGGAAGCTGAAACTAAAGAGCAGATGCTACAAATTTCATGCGTTAAGGATGGGACCAGACCACTGCCTATAATATATGGAGCAAAGCAATAACAAGAGATTAAACTAATTGTGGGAAGAAATAATATTTCACATCAGTGTGGAAATGCTAGAGTACACATAACTAATTTTTCCTGGTGCATTCATTCGACCTGGATCTGTTCAGTTTGTCAGATCATCTGTCCTTCTACCTTCTTTGCAGTTGGCCGTAATAGTAATACTGCAGCAGGCAACCCTAGTTTGTAGTAAATATGAATGGCTTGACTAGATTTCACGGCATGCTGTTTAACAGGATATTTTAAGCGAGGTTGGGGTTGGGGGATAATAATTTTTCACTCATGTATTCTGAGTGCAGTTTAATTGTGCATCAGTCACTCCCTTTTGTTTTTCTGCCAAAAGCACCAGTTATTGTGGATTAGGCCAGTACTTCTAGTTATGTAACATCACTTCTTCAGTTACACTTTCGTTAGCTCACCATTGGAATCCAGTTTCCATTCACTCAGCTGGTCATATTCTATGTTGATTATCTTCATGGTATGAAGCCCTTGAATTTCTTTCACTTCCAATTTTAAGCTGATGTTCTTAAGTTACACAGCTTGCTGTTTTCATTATTAATGTTGATTCACTTGTATTTTTCCATATCGCTTCCATTTTAAGCTGATGTGCTTAAGTTTTCTGCAGGACTTATCAGTTTCAGTTAATCTCATGTGGGCAACCAGAGGGACAAATTACCATAGATTGCATGGTTATTTTTAGCAATGAAGCGTTTTGTCTACATAAATGATGAATCTTACCAGAATGACTATTGTGATAACCGGATTTCTAACACAAAGTACACCCTACTAAATTTCCTGCCAAAAAATCTATGGGAGCAATTCAGGTTTGTACTTATTAGATGCATTTATTTTATGTTCTCTTAAAATGGAAGTCTATTGGCTTTTACATCATTTGGAGAAGCACTGACTAATAGTTAGTAGAAGCTGATATCTCCATTTCATGTTTCAGGCGTTTCATGAATCAATATTTCTTGCTGATAGCATGCCTCCAACTGTGGTCACTTATCACTCCTGTAAATCCTGCAAGCACATGGGGCCCGCTTATTTTTATATTTGCCGTTTCAGCAACCAAAGAAGCCTGGGATGACTACAATAGGTATATTTCAGACAAGCAAGCAAATGAAAAAGAAGTGTGGATTGTAAAGAATGGTACCCGGAAACATGTACGTTTATATGGCAATTTTTCCCATTCATAAAAATTTGTCTTTCTTTGGTATTGTCCTTGTGTTCTTATACTAAAACATTTAATGGTATCAATGATATACAAGCAAGAAACTGGAGATGTATTTTTACGTGAAAACCTGGATTGTATGTTAGTTTTACACATGAACAGTCCCGCTACTGTAGATTAGGATCACATATTCTATTTCAATGAGCAATGAGTTAGTTTTCTAGGATAGGGGTTAGTCAATTGCTGTCCTATTAGTTAGAGAAAGTTACAATTGATTAAAAATTTAGAGATGATTTGTTTGGAAAGTATAGATATAGTATGTGCTAGATTGCATTTGCATTAGCTGCATTGTGTCTTGTCTTTAGATTGTTTCATGTAGTTTTATCCTTGAGCCCCTTATAAATGATAAGGCAATGCCACCACTTTTCATTGAGTAAATAGGATGAATTAGACTCTCTCATCTAAAGTCTTCTTCCTGGTCTTACGGTCTACTTCTCCTTTCTTTTCCCATAATCCTCTCCCAACTATACTGTTGATTTTTAAAGGCATACCCTGGATTCAAAAGGTCAAAGTTTGTAAGGTTTGGACCAACGGTTAATCAAATTACAAATACATGTAAATGTATAAAAGTTATACCAATAGATTCGATTTCAAAAATGTCTTACACAAGGTTGGTTTTATACCTAGTAAATATATATGATGAGAAATCATTGGTCAAATTTTTATCTTGAAGACCTTTTGAAATTATAATACATCCTATAAAACACAACAGGGGTACTACCATTCAACCCTCCTTTCCTCCAGGCATAAATACATTTTATTTTGGAACACATCGAACTGAAGTTACTAAACTATTAAAACTTTGAGTATCTACATATTTTTTTTTGAATAAGTAGAGTAAATACATGAAAAGCAGGCGTGTATTATCTCAAAGTGTATTTTCATAATATTATAATTTTATTGGATTTTGTAAAGAGTAAATTGCGCCTACGATACAACAACTTGGCAGGTGGGTGCGATATAGTGCAAGAACTTAATAATTGAATGTCCAAGTGCAACAACTTGACAAATAGGTGCGTTCTAGTACAAGAACTTGACAATTTAGTATTTTGGTGCATCAACTTAGCTAAGCATTTGCTAGGTGATTTATTTTTCACAATATCAATATGTCATTACATAGCAATCCTATGGATATTACCTTATAATATTGAATTTAATCTTTAAGAATTATACTGCACATCCAAATTACCTTTAAGAATTTTTGTTTTCTTCACCTTCTCAAATCTCAACCGAAATATAATAATTTCTACATCCAGTTATATTGACTTTCAGTTATTAGTTATTAGGATAAAAATATAAATATGCTTATACAAATCCACACTAATATATTGACAAAATAAGTACTTAAAAATTAAATCTGTATAAAAAATGCTCCAAATAATTAAGTTGTCACATAACTTCTTAACTTATTGTATCAAAATCGTACCTACCTTGTAAGTTGTCGCATTTATACGATCACTTATAAAGTTCTCATACTAAATTTCATCTATCTGATCAAGTTGATGCACTGTAGGTGCAATTTACTATTTTGTAAATATATTACTATAGAAATTACTGATCAAAGTTGCATTTTGGAGGGTGCCATATGTACCGACTAAATATGTTTTAGTCATCATTCTTTCTAATTAGCAGAACAGAAGTATCTCCGTGCCTCTATCTCTCCTGCTCTTTTCCACAGAACCCCTCTGTCCACCGAGCTTCACTTTCTATCTGCCATGTGATTGCCATCTTAAGTGCTACTCTCCCTGCCTTCTTCACTCCACTAGGCTGTATGACCATGGGGGCTCATACGCATATCAACCATAGCTATCCATCGTGTTCTATCTTGAAGGAACATGAAAGCATAACTAGACTGTCTGTGTGCTATGTATGGCCAACAACAGCCCATTACAGATATCAGATAGTTCCATAAATCCAATACTTTTTTTATGCTATCTGTTTCTCATTCTTCCTGGATTCGATATTATTAGGAAACACTGAGGATCACAATTGTATAAATTTTGCTAGTAATCACACCATTGTAATCTCAACCTTTTCCGTAATATCTGATTCTGATTTTTTTAATACTTGTATGCCTATGAAATGACACTTTTCAATTGTTATGTAGATCCAAGCACAAGATATTCGTGTTGGTAATATAGTATGGATTCGAGAAAATGAGGAAGTACCATGTGACCTTGTTCTGATAGGAACTTCCGACTCGCAAGGCATTTGCCATGTTGAGGTAAGACATGAATGAATAGACTAAAAATGTTTAACCCCTACATTTGTTGCATGACTGATATCAAGTGAACACCTATTTTTCTTCAAACTAAGAATTTTCTAAAAATTACTAGCTAAAGGGCCAGTGTTCACTTAGTCGCTAAACGCTAGTCGGACGGCCACCTACTGACTAGCGACTAGGCTGATTAGGCGGCGACTAGACGGATTAGGCGAATTAGACGTTTTTTCTATTTCTTTCACACAAAAATACTGATTCTAGACATTCGGTACTCGGTAAATATAGGCATTTAGGCAAATAGCATAAATCATAGTTAAGTTCAGAAATCATCAAGTCCATACAACGCACTGACACTGCACACGAAGCATTGGGTTTAGTACAAATCTATAGGGATAGCGAACACATCAGTATTGCCACTGTACATGCACATCATAAATCATAAATCATAACTTTATAGATCTGAGGGGCTGGAGCTAGGAGAGAGGAAGAAAAATTTATCTAGAACTGGAAGAACAGAGGAGGTGAGGTGGTGGAGGGGAGTCTGATCCCCTGATGGCCTGATCTAGGGTTGGCGTAGGCTGCTTGAGTGGTTTGGTGCTTGACTGCTTCAATCGGTGTGTTTGCCACCTTCCATTGACGGCAAGGATGAAGGATGAGATGGAGAGCAGGAGCAGCAGAGGAGGGGGAAGAACATGGAGCAGCAGAGGAGGAGAGGGAAGAACGTAGCGGCGTGGTGGAAGATCGATGGGCGCGGCGACGGAGCCGTCGCTCGTGGTGGTGTGAAAAAGGGGGTAGGCAGGGATTGCGCTCTCTCTCCAGGCCCTCAAATAAGGCAACCTAAATCCCCTTCTATACTGAGTCGGTCCCGCGTGGCGCTTCTAAATTTTATCACGCCCAAATTTTGATTTCTATCACCTAGTCGCCGCCTAGACGCACTGTCCCGTTGTCTAATTGCGCTCAGGCACCGTCCTGTCCAGGCCGTCCAGGCCGCCTAGGACCGACTAGGACCGTCTAGGCGGTAAATCGACTAATTCACTGCCTAGGGTGTAAACTGGACAAATTTTCGTCGACTAGCGATTAATCACCGTCTAGATGGGCTAGGCGGCCATTTAGGTGAACATTGTAAAGGGCCATGCATTTACTACGGAGAAGAATGAATTGTACATACTGTCGACCTTTATTGTCAACATAGATGTTGACCTAATAAAAAGTATTGGTCATTCGTACAATTTTTTTTCACCTAGTTTTGTAAATTCATCTGTTACCTTGATCTGTTTTATTCCTTGTCTGATATCAATTTATAATTTGTTTTACGTATTGAATCTTCATTTGCCTAACATTCTTGAACCCTAATTATTTCCTTAGACAGCTGCTCTTGATGGGGAAATTGATTTGAAGACGAGAGTAATCCCATTGACATGTGTAGGACTGGACTCTGAACAGTTGCACAAAATTAAGGTATCATGCATTTTTGAAAACATATTTTGGTGCTTCTTTTATTTTCTTTTTCACCCTTGCATGCCGTGACTAAACAGGGTGTTATTGAGTGCCCAAACCCGGATAAAGACATCCGAAGATTGGATGCAAACATACGGCTGTTTCCTCCATTTATTGATAACGACATTTGTCCATTGACTATTAGTAACACACTGCTACAGTCATGCTACTTGAGAAACACAGAATGGGCTTGTGGTGTGGCAGTTTATACAGGTACCTTGAACTAGCTTTCTCCTAATTCACAAGACTGATGTGTACCTCTTTTTCCATCAATAGTATTATATACTCCAATGAAGCTGAAGTTGTTGTAAAATGTTTCCCCTGATATTTGTGTCAATCTTAGTATATTGTTTATTTCTGTATCTCCATTTAGCGGGTTAGGCAAAATGTTGTGAATATGGTTGCTTGTTGGTAAGTAGCCAAGATAGACAATCTGTCATTCAGACTACTTTGCTATTCTATCACTGCCTTGAAATTAGCATTAATCTTTCTATGTACTTCCAGGAATCTGTTTCATGTAGCTTGGCAAGGAAATTTTCAATCATCAATACAGGGTCCTTTATGTTTAAGACCTATTGCTCATTGATTTGGAATTTTACGCTTTGATTGTGTCAGTCAGATGGAATCAATAAAGTGGTTCTTCTTCATTATTAATAATCAAGTTAGGTTCAAAGAGTTTCATAGAGTAGTTTGTCATTGACTTTCTTCTACAATGAAGAGCTGCCAAGCTCCAAAACTTATTTACCCTTCTCCTCAACACGGGATCCTCCATGATCTTTGCTGGATATGCTTGACGATCTCCTAAAATACACTAAACTTGGGGACTTTTTGGTCCATCCTTTCCAAGAGTCTCCGCTAACCGCATCCAAGGCAATTTAACAAGTGCAGAACGTAAATAACTATTTGCACAAACTGAAATTTGACAAAAAGAACACTCAATTAAACAAATGAGTTCCTAATGCACTATATATTTTTAAGGAAATCCCTTGTTTCTCACAGAAGAATGTCCCTTCAGTGCGATCTAGGTGTACACACAATTGGTTGCGCTTATTCAATATTGTTTTTACTTGCCGTTTTAATATTTTATTTTTGTATCTGCTGAGTCATCAAATTACCTTCCTTTAATATGTTTTAAAGTACCTGATCAAATATATGGGAGGTACATGATTTGCTTTGACAGGCAAACATGGTTTGCTTTTGATTGTGTATAATGACTTGTAGTTAATTCCTAGTGTGATGTTATGATATACTCCCTCCGTCCCACTCAACAGGGTGTGTAAAAATTTTCATGCAGTCCGACGGAACAAGGTGTGCAAGTGCCTCATCTCCTCTTTTCCTAGCAATGCCCCTATGAATGCATTTGTGTTGCTTCGATGCCTCCATAAATTCTGCATGCAGCTTCTGCATGCAACAGCTTTGCATGCGCGTGGAAGGCTAAGCGATTTCTGTATGGAACTCTGCACATATTCTGTGGATATATTAACTAACCATGCGATTAGGTAGGGGTAGACAACAGCTTTGCGAGGAAGGCTAAGCGATTTCCAAATGGAACTCTGCACATATTCTGTGGATATATTAACTAACCATGCGATTAGTTAGGGGTAGATTAGGAATTATAGAACCATGTCCAGCTGTCTTGGTATTGCAGAAAATTTTTATATGCCCTGTTGAGTGGGACAGAGGGAGTACTTGGAAGTAGGTGTAAATGGTTAAATCTTGTTCTGTATTGCTAACTGACCATGTATTGCTGATGGTGAGAAATCTCTCCAGTATTATTTACATAGGGAAATAGCCCTAAATTTATCAATAAAGTTTTTAATTTTTTGAAATGAAGAGCATTCTATAATCATTGTTTGGTTGGGGCATAACAAATATCATGGTCATGAAGGCCTCTATTAGAACAGTGACTTGTGGACAACATATTCACTCTACGTTTCACATTATATTCCTAACTTTTTTACGACACATTAATAGTATGTTGAGGAAATATGTAGAGGAGACGTATCCTTCAGTATTGTATGCAATTCAGGAAATAGAGCAGTTCTGCAGTTGTGTATGCTTCATAAAGTTTAAATAATTTGCATCAAGGACTAATTGATAATAATGTGAAGTGTCACTAATTTGCTTGCAAGACTAATACTGAAGGATACAATATATGTGGCAAATGTAAGCCTTCAATCATGATTCTGACCATAATGCACAGGAAACGTTTATGATTTCAAAAACTTTCTATGGAACATTTCATATATTAATAAGAGCAATTTTACGGTTCTTGAGGAGGTACCATGAGGTACCAATTTTTCTATGGTAAATTTGGTACCTCTTGGTACCTAGGTACTATGAGGTACCATGAGGTACCAAATTTTACACTAAATTTTTGGTACCTCATGGTACCTCCTCAAGGACCGTAGAATTGCTCTATTAATAAAATTCCAGTGACAGAATAACAGATCATAGAACTATGAATGGCATTTTTTTATTTTAATTCTTACTTTTATACAGGTGAAACAAATTGCTATCCAAGTTTATCCTAACTTGATCTACAAGGCTAAGACTGAGGTCGAGTTTACAAAAGGGCTGATTATTGTCAATTTCAACTTTTCAGGCAATGAGACTAAGTTGGGAATGAGTAGGGGTGTCCCAGAGCCCAAGCTTACCTCCATGGATGCAATGATTGATAAGCTTACTGGTGCAATATTCTTATTTCAAATAGCTGTTGTTGTCGTTCTTGGATCTGCAGGCAATGTGTGGAAGGACACTGAGGCCCGTAAGGTACTTCTCTTTAACTGCTGTAGATGAAATGAGCTTGTTTGATTAGGCTACATGATGCATGCCTCCTGTTATTTTGTGCCATGGTTCGCTCCAACAAGGAGATGGAATCATGGAAATAACAATTTTTTTATTCAAATGAATATCAACATTGCATTTTGACAATAGCAGATGGGCTAGGTATGTTGAGCAAGCAACATAGTCAGTAAACTACATTGGTTTTAGGCACAATATCCTCTCAAACCCTGTTTCCACAGTTTAGTTGCTCCTGTTCCGATTTCTCTCCATGGTTACTTCCTAGGGACTTCCTGTGGTTTGAAAGTATAGTATTTCCACCCAAACTTCAGATAAAAGCCATGCCTGTGTGAGTTGCCAATGACGATGTGTCCTTGGTGCTGCAATAGCCTGTGCCTTTTGTTTGATTGACACTAGATGGTTTAGATGGAGTTTCCCAGGAAAAGTAGATGGAGCGAATCTATCTCTCCTCTTTTTTTTGGCTACATTGGTTGGAGTAATTGAAACTAAAGATAGCACATAGCTACATACAACTTAGAATTTTCTTGAACTTGACTTCTGTTATGACAGCTCATTTGTGATAGAGGGGATTTTCCATGCTATTTGGAAATTGAGCTGATTTGTAAGATTTCTTGTCATTTATGATCCCTAAAGTTGTGGTCTAGATTCATATTCTGTATTCTCTTAGCTTATTATGCTGGTAGTAAATAGTTGAGAAGATAGTAGCTCTGAGATTGACATACAAATTCGAGTGATTTAATGCATCTTGGTGCTACTTTAGACTTGGTCCCTAATGCATATTATCAACTAGTTCCTGGAAATATTTATTTGATTTTCTGGGTGCAAAGTCATAACTTGATTGCATACGAATTCGAGCTTGTTATACACTATAATCAAGACAAAGATAAAAATGATCATGTGAGGCAATGCGACAAACATAACATGACTGATAAAAATGGAAGTATGAAACATTGAATGGCAGTTGAAAATTATTTCGGTGGCGGCATCTCCAGAAGCAAAGATTTATTAATAATGATTGTTGTCTGTAGCAATGCATGGTCATTTAGCTAGTTCCTTCAATAATTTTGCGGCAAAGATTAGCTTGGAAGGGAAACCGCCTATACTCAGACCTCCTAGTGGGATTCAATGAACTAATTTTTATTATTAAGTGGGCTAATCACTAGGTGGACATGGCCCTATACTAATCTCATTACTAATATGAGCCATCAATATTTCTTCAATACATACCTGACAGCATTTTGCATTTTTTTTAGCAATGGTATGTCAAGTACGATGATGATGAACCATGGTATCAGATTTTGGTTATCCCCCTGCGGTTTGAACTGTTGTGCTCCATTATGATTCCCATTTCAATAAAGGTATGACTCTTTGAAGTATTTAATCCTAGTTTACTTGCTTGTGTTTTATGTGGCGATGTTTGTGTAATCATAAAAAAAATTTCTCATGCTTAATATTCCATCATTGAAAAAATTAAATACAATTTTGAATTTTGATAGCAGTAGTAGCTTGAACAAACTTCTTTCAAATGTTTTGTCCTTCAGTTTGAGTTTCCCTTGCACTTTGAGACCATAAGACACAACCAATTTACAAGGAAAAACTCTATACCATGATCACTAATGTGTCCTGTCTGGTGCCGTTGGTTTTGATTTTTAAATGTGAACACATGAATTTAGACTTCTGATTCTGATAGACAGGCAATGTAGGATGTGAATGTTGCCTCAAGGTATAATGCAGAATTGGAGGAACCCTTGTTAAATAAAGTTATGAATGTGTCTTGCAGGTTTCTCTAGACTTTGTTAAAAGTCTCTATGCAAAGTTCATAGACTGGGATGAGGAGATGTATGACCATGAAACAGATACACCTGCTCATGCTGCAAAGTAAGTAGGCATTTTACTTTTATCTTGGTAAGCATGATCTTGTTTGTTTCTTATATCTAATCATCTCTTCATAACTACCAGCACAGCAATTAGTGAAGACTTGGGTCAAGTTGAATATATTTTAACAGACAAAACTGGGACCCTGACTGAGAACAAGATGATCTTCAGGAGGTGCTGTATTGGTGGCACCTTTTATGGGAATGAGAGCGGAGATGCACTTAGAGGTCTTCTACAATCTTTCATAAGCAATTTTTTCTTCATTCTGTCAGTAGAAAATATAATAAAGCCAGGGTTCTAATCGTGCCATTGTGAGGTGACCTGCTGCTGATGAATTATTTTCATTTTTGAGCTGAACATATTAGGTAGGATCATAATGTTTCCACAAGGAATGCATCTGTAAAATCTTTATACTCCAGCAGAGGTACTATATTTAAATATATGATGATATTATGAAAACTTATGGTGGATCAAGACTCTGAAAGGAGATAAATTTGAGAATCTTGTGGGTCTGTCATGTAGCCTAGACTCTAATGGAGAATTCTCCAGATAGTAATGTGGGGGTTATAATCTTATTTTTGTAAAATATGTACTGTGGATGATCGGATTTTTATCAAACGGCTCGGATCATTTGAGATGGGTGTGTGATTTCTTTGCTCTTCTTCACTCAACTTTAGAAGATAGATAATATGCGGATATGCCTTATATTAATCAATGAGTGCTAATAATCTATTCTTACTCTGTAGAACTTTCATGATGCACATTGCAAGTTTGTTAGTATGTGTACTGATCTACTGTTATGTTCAGATGTCGAACTCCTCAATGCTGTTGCCAATAATTCTCATGTCATCAAGTTTTTGACTGTCATGACCCTTTGCAATACTGTCATTCCTATAAAAAGGTTATATTTTCATCTGTTTCTCAATTACTCTTGGCACATATTTATTTCTTTCACCTTAACATTGCCAATTTTGTTGTTAAAAAACAGTTCTAGCGGAGCAATTTTATATAAAGCTCAGTCCCAGGATGAGGATGCTCTTGTTAATGCAGCCTCTAATTTGCATATGGTGCTTGTCAACAAAAATGGAAACACTGCTGGTAGGTTTATTACATTTTACCTGTCTCGTTTTTTCATCTATTTTCCTTTTCTTGTTCATGTTGTCTTGACAAAATAATAAGACATGTATTTAAGCAGAAATTCACTTCAACAGACGGGTGGTTCAATATGAGATACTTGACATTCTAGAGTTTACATCTGATCGAAAAAGAATGTCTGTCGTAGTATTGGATTGTGAAAGTGGAAAGATTTTTCTCTTATCCAAAGGTGCAGATGAAGCAATTATTCCATGTGCTTATTCTGGTAATCATAATATGCTGAATATCTATTTTCATTCATTTTTTTTGAACTGTAATATTTTAAACATTGGTGTTTTTATTCACTTGTTTGCTCTTTATTTCATGTGACAACTTATAGTTCCTGCTGCGAACTAATTGTAGTATCTGTTCTGTTTTGATCCTTGACCTTTGTAAGAACAGCACATAAGAAATAAAAAACAAGTTCTTAGATTCTGTTCAACCAATTGAGAGCTTGTGTTGGTTTTCAGGTTGATGTTTCTATTATTTTTCAGGACAGCGGATAAAGACATTTGTTGATGCAGTCGACAAATATGCTCAACTGGGATTACGGACACTCTGTTTGGGATGGCGTGAACTGGAATCGGAGGAGTACCTAGAATGGTCTCGATCATTCAAGGAAGCCAACAGTGCATTAATTGATAGGGAGGTAAGTATCGTGTTGATTTCTTTTATTAGATATATGCCTAATGCCATGAAACTAATGTTGCAACATTGGTTCCGATCAGTGGAAAGTTGCTGAGGTGTGCCAGAAACTAGAGCACAGCTTAGAGATTCTTGGTGTCAGTGCTATAGAGGACCGCCTCCAGGTTTTATCTTCGCCTTGATTTCTAGTCAAAGTTTCTTTCATCATTTTATATTCCTTTCTCATGAATCTGTTGATCTGTTTAGGCTGGTGTACCAGAAACTATTGAAATACTGAGGCAGTCAGGAATAAACTTTTGGATGTTAACTGGCGATAAACAAAGCACTGCTATTCAAATCGCGCTTTTGTGCAATCTCATTTCTTCAGGTGACAATCTTCTCACTGAACATGTTTCACTAAAAGATTCCACTATTTTTTTTTACTCATGTTATTAGTATTTATGTTAGTGTTCCACCAATGATAGTGGGTAGAATTGCCAACTTGATGCCCTTCCACTAGGTAGAATGGTCAGGAACACTGTTCACACAGATGAACAGTATCCCTCGGTACTGTAGGTTAGAATTTGTTAGATAATATATTAGAGTTAAGATTAGATTGAGTTGTTGCCTATTTTGATAATTTTAAAAATAAGTTTAAGGGTTGAGGTATCCATTTATGTAAGGATGGGGTTTTATTTCCTTTCCTGAAGCAAGCAAAGGCAGATTGAAAAGTTCATAGTCCCTAAACTCTAGGGTTTGTCTCTCCCAAGACCAGCTGTAGATCTATTTCCCCCACCTATCGGTGCTGTCCTTCGTCTAGCATGTTCTTAATTCATTGCTGTCTGACCTTCCTGCAACAGATATTTACCCCATGATGCCATAGGGAACCAAGGATCATCACATTTCACTTATAAACAATGTTCCTGCCCATGAAAAATTATCTATGCCTAGAAATGTTCCAGTCAGTAACTGTTTTGTTCAAGTCCTTTTATTACTTCCAACTGTGATATTTTTAAAACTTTTCTCGAACTTAACCCAAGATTTGCATCAATCCTTCTCAAGTAAATTATAATCCTGAATAAGCTTTAAGTAATGAAATAGGTGTTCAATTGCTTGAATCCCAGGTAGGTTGACCTCAATTTTTTTAAAAAAGGGGCTGTGTAGGGTGACTTCATTAAGGTGTTGAATGACTTCTATTTTCCATATGTAGAGCCCAAGGGGCAACTCTTGTATATCAATGGAAGAACTGTGGATGAAGTTGCTAGAAGCTTGGAAAGAGTTCTACTTACTATGCGGATAACTACTTCTGAACCTAAGGTTAGTTTAAATGTTGTGTATTAAGACGACTGTGCATTTTGTATCCAGTGATGTAATATTTGCATGGAACAGGAGCTAGCTTTTGTTGTGGATGGTTGGGCTCTTGAAATCATCCTGTCACGCTACAATGAAGCCTTTACTGAATTAGCAGCTCTTTCAAAAACAGCAATATGCTGCCGGGTTACACCGTCTCAGAAAGCACAGGTAAATTCAGTGGCATTGGTTTGCTCATGTTTGCTGGAGCCAAATATATTCATTAGTCATTACTCCCTCCATTCTAAAATATGAAGCATATTAGCTTTTTACATGGTCTGCAATGGTGTACTTTGACCATTTATTTATTTTATAATATATTATCAGTAACTATGAAATTAACATCATATAAAAATACTAATTTCAAATACGAATATAATGATACTACATGCATGACACTAAACACACATATTATTAGTCAAAAGTTTTCATATGTTGACTTTTCTAAAAGCAAGGATGCCTTATATTTTAGAACAGAGGGAGTACTATCTTTATTTTTACTGTTAAATTTGATAGCTCAAAGAAACATTGCAGTAAGTATGACATGCCCTTTTTTTTTTTTTGAGGAAGCAGTCCATTTAGCCTCCACAGTGCAGTTCACTCTCTTGATCTCCTCTGATTAGTGTTCGCTTGCACGGCCTAATAGCTAGTTGGCGGCAAGATGTCCTGTTTACACCCTAGTCAGTGGATTAGTCGTTTCGCTGCCTAAATGGTCCTAGTCGGTCCTAGGTGACCTGTATGGGATGACGTTGTGTGTATTTGGACAGTGGAGGGGAGCGTTTACGCGGTGACATGGCGATAGGTTGTGACCAAAGCTTGGGCGTGATGCACGGCAACAAAAAAGGGAAGCACAGGGCTAGCTGCATTATAGAATGGAAGGGTATTAGGTTCTTACCTGCGTGCGAGCCATTCTATAGCACCATTACGCTCTTCCCCTCTCAGCTCGAAGCAAGAGGGGAATGCATAAAAGCTCCCCTCCGTGGGTATACCAAGTCATACATTGCTATTTTTGGTCAATATTGTGTATTTCTATGGAAAAAGTAGAAAAAACGCCTAGACCGCCTAATCTGCCCAATTGCCACCTAATCAGCCTACTCTACTCAGTGGGTACCTGCCCGACTAGCGACTATCGTCTAGGTGAACACTAGTAGCCCAAATTTTGTCCTGAACTCCTGGAACCTGAGAAAATATCACCCTCCCCACAAAACCACCACTTTTTACTTATGATGCAGTATACTGTTTTCCTAAATAATATGGCATTCCAATTATCTGTACATGTTAAATAAGAGAGAGTATGCAGAGGCAGAGGAAGTTCTGTATCTCATTTTTTATTTACTCTTAGGAAGGGAGAAAGGGGCTTCGAGTTTGCAATCTCAATCATCAGATTCTTGTTTTCGACTTGTGCACAGCTATGTCATGTATTTAAATTTAAAACTATTTCATGTTTTTAGAAAACCGACCAACATCTATTAGCTTATACGTATGCAAGAAACTGACCTGTCCATGATATCCATCAGTAATCTACCTGGGCCCTAGTTTTAGTAAACATTGTGTAATTGATGGATTTCTATTTCCCAGTGCTTATGTTGTCGTAATTCATTTTGTAGCTTGTAAAGCTTCTAAAATCATGTGACTATCGAACTTTGGCTATTGGAGATGGTGGGAATGATGTCAGGATGATACAACAGGCTGATATTGGTGTAGGAATTAGTGGCAGAGAAGGTCTTCAAGCAGCAAGGGCTGCTGACTATAGCGTTGGCAGTAAGTCTTTCTTATCAAATTGCCCTTCATGTTATCCCCCATTACTTAATGAAGTTTTGTACCTCATCTTACTATTGAATTGATGACAGATTCATAAGATCTTATTATTTTATAATAATTTGCGTACTATGTATAAATCAAGTATTGGATGGGACACATCCTAGTACTATGAATCTGGAGCTAAAACTATGAATCTGGTGCCTATCCAGATTCGTAGTACTATGATGTGTCCCATCCAGTACTAGGTTCTTATATTTTGGGGCAGAGTTAGTATGTGTTTTCATTTTCTTCTAATGTGAATTCTAATATGTTAAGCACATGAGCAGTTATTAGATTGTAAATACTTTTATCTGTTATTCTGGTTACCAAGATTGATTTATAACAAATATATTATCAAATATCCACTCTTTAGTGTAAGTCATATGTAGGTCTTATCTGCTTGAATGGATGGGAACTTATCCTATGCACACAAGCATTCTCGTGTACATACCGTGCACACCAACTAACAAACTTCACCAAAAATTCTAGAAAAATTTGTACATGTACTTTTTGTAGCATCACATTTATGTGTAAAATCCCATCTTCTAATTCATTCTATATATGGAGCACCAAAAAAGACAATTCTGACCGATTTATACCCTTAAAACTGTTAGAAATTTTATCTTTTTTGTTACGGCTAAAATATAATGAATTTGAGGTTAATACTTTACACATAAGTGCAATGTTATTTTAAGTACATGTACAATTTTTTCTATATTTTTTGGTGAAATTTGTTAGTTGGTGTGCATGGTGTGTACATGGAAAACTTGTGTGCACAGGATATTTTCCCTGAATGGATTGCTGGAAAAACAGAAGAAATTGAAATTGATATGCCTGCGTGTGTTTTGGACTAGCGAAGTTTTTGCCTTCCAAAATAAATATCCTAGTGTAGCAGTAGGATTAGGGAAAGTTTTACGTTCCAAAACAAGAAATTATTTTATAAATATTTAATTAGTTTCCTAGGGATTAGTTAAATGGTATTCTATCTAGAAGTTTGGAACCTCTCGATTCAGTTAGGAAATTAGAGATATGGGTTTTTAGGAAGGTAGAGATTATATTCTTGAGGGAGAGGTTATATTATAGTACCAACAGGTACTTCAAAACACGAATCCCCCTAGAAAGGAGTCATTATGTACAACAATAAATCTACAAAGTTAGTCCAGCAAGCCTAGGAGCCTCTCTTGCCATGTCAGAGAAAATAATTGCCGGCATCGTCGTGGAATCTTTCATTGTGTTTCGGCAGTTCCTGGTCATGCCTTGTAGTGGCACCCAAGGATGGTCTTTGGTAAGTTGGAGCTGCTGTGTCGAGACATTCGATGAGCTAGGCAACGATGCCTCGAAGCCATGCTTGCTTGCAGGCGGTGCTTGGCTATTGTCCACTGGAGAAGTCAGAGCTGCTGCGTGGGTGCAAGCTCGGCAGCGATGACTCAAGCCTGACCCTGTGAATCCTGTTTTGTTCTGGTGTGTTTCAGCAAGTTGTTGAGCAAGTCAGTCGCACGATCACGAGGGTGATGGTGTGATGATGATGATGATGCCACGTTGTTGCCAGCATGTGGGGAGTTCTTTTTGTTCTTTGAGCTTGCTAACCGTATCTGGAGTTCAGTGTTGAGCTTGGAGGTCATACTCCCACGGTTGTGGTAGTTTAGGTTGGTTGAGTTTGTTGTAATTATGGTTTTTGCCCAATTTTCCCCAATTAATTGTGCACTGTAAGGTTTTGCTTAATTTCTTCTTAAAATGAGGCACCTTCTTATACAAAAAAATGCCAGCAATGTGCAATGGCTGGCTCGGTTCAAAAAAAAAAAAGGAAAAGCATTGCCAGCACTGGCACTCTCTTGGGGAGCGAGTGGGAATATGAACAGGACTGCATTGATAATGAAATTATGCTGGGAAAATTTGAGTAGTATTAAAAGAAAAAAAATGACTTATTGATTGTCCTCTTTTTCTTTGTCAGGACTTACTGAATATTCTCAACCAGATAATCGAGTATCAAACTAGTCTGTTTTGTGATGCATTTCAGGGGAATAATCTCTTAGATGTGGTTGTTGTGGAAGTTATCTGATGTTGATACTAGTTATTAGGAACATTTCCTATCTTGAACTGGAAGATATCCGCATTTTTCATTTGTAAGATGCAAATAGTTGTCACCGAGGGATCACAGAGTGTATAAAGGTTTCTTTGATAAAAAAACATTTTTTAGGCATTTATCAATATTTCAGTTAACTTTTTGACTGATGCACAATCAATGTCACTATAAGAGTTGCTATTGTACATAAAAAATTGAATGTAAGAGCATGTTACCCATAAGTCCAACTGTTGGCTGGACAAATCTCCCATGAAAACCAAAATGCATTTGCAAAAACATTGAACGCCAAAACCGGCACTAAGCTTCTTGTTGGCTGTCTCCTCCACCCCTCAATGGTGCATCCGTTTTGTGCTAGCCCAGCAGTTTGTTTATTGTACATGAAATTGGCATTTGTTATGAAGGAAAGTAGGATGTTTAGACACCGTGCATCTGATTAAATTTACCTTGTTATAATAGCACTGACTTTCATTTTACTTTCTTTAGAGGCTTCATGTGTAAAAGGAATGTAGCTAATGGTGTTACTGAAGTTGTTGCAACAGTTCTGGTTGTACATTACTCATTTGGTATCTAAAAATTCATTTGTAGGGAGTAGTCCCTGGAGCTATATGTTTCATATTTTGACTTTATTCTCTGATATTTTGACTATGTATTGGTTCATACACTGTAACTAAGATTATTTATGTTCTTATGCTTCTGTTTTTCTGTCTTGGCAGAGTTCAGATTTTTGAAAAGGCTGATTCTTGTCCATGGGCGATACTCATACAACCGTACAGCTTTTCTTTCTCAGTATTCTTTCTACAAGTCATTGTTAATTTGCTTTATCCAGATACTGTAAGTCAAACTTAGTCTGGCATCTTTTTGCTTATTTGAGTTCTTAATGCAATAGTATTCTCAGTCCATTTATCTGTAAAAGAATGCTGGATATATGCTTCTCTTATCAATGTTCTCATTTTATGCATGCAGTTTTTCTTTTCTTTCTGGTATTGCTGGAACAAGTCTATTCAACTCGGTTAGTTTGATGGCTTATAACGTCTTCTACACAAGCATTCCTGTTCTAACTACTGTCCTGGATAAGGACTTATCTGAAAAGACAGTGATGCAAAATCCAGAGATATTGCTCTACTGCCAGGCTGGAAGGTAATTTACACTTCATTACCTGCTTATAATATTTGAGTTGACAGTAGCAATGTAAATTTCTGCACCTGCACCCCTCACTCCCATCACAACTAACAAGACAACTCAAAACTCATCTTGTTGGCAAGTTAGTGTGCAGTTAAGCTTTAGTATTATGAGTTCTTTTGTGCTGCAACACATGGACCCACTGCTACAGTGCAAGTTATTAAAAGTTCGTTCATATTGTATATGTGGTCTGTAACTTGTATTACCAGAAAATTACTTGAAGCTCTTTATATTCAGTTTTGGTTGCTCAACTAATTCATGCCTTTTACAGGCTTTTAAATCCAAGTACATTTGCTGGTTGGTTTGGTCGATCATTGTATCATGTAAGTTCATCTTTCTAAATGTAACGTAGTTTTGCATATTGTGCAAATAACAATTGCAAATGGTATGGGGCAAAGTTCCATCATTTTAATTTTGTTAAAAATAAGAGAATTTCTGAATTTTTATTTGTGTGCTCTTCTATATCACAGCACAGAATCTTTTTTTTTTTTTTTTGCTTTTTGGTACTTCAGTTGTTGAAGTGGTAAATGAGCAAGTGATTACTAAAAAAAAATGGGATGTGCTAGGAGGAGACGCTAGGTTGACTTGGTATAAGAGGAAAATAGGCACCCAAATTCGTTTCGACGAGGATTCGAACTTGGAAGGTGTAAGCGTACACGGTAAACCTACACCATCGGTTCCTCAGCAAGTGGTTACTGACATTATTTATTTGAAAAAAGGATCAATCAGTCTAAACTAAAAAACTTTTTTATATGTTCGCTTCATTTCCATTACAAAATGTGGGCTCACTATATTGGGTTGGAGCACATGTTTCACTAATGCATGAGCTACAGAGGTACCTGAACCATTTCCGGTGGTTGATGTCAGTGCCTTATCTTGGTTGATTTCAGGCGATTGTTGTTTTCTTGATTACCGTTCATGCTTATGCTAATGAGAAGAGTGAGATGGAGGAGCTGTCAATGGTTGCCCTCTCAGGAAGCATTTGGTTGCAAGCATTTGTTGTGACATTGGAGATGAAGTAGGAAAACAGGACCCTGACTCATTACGCTTTTAAGAAATGCAATTCAGATTATATTTATCCTGACCTGTCTTCTCTTTTCCATTTTGTAGTTCTTTCACGTTCGTGCAATTTCTAGCCATATGGGGAAACTTCATCGCGTTCTACATCATAAATTTCTTCATCAGCAGTATACCATCTGCTGGGATGTACACTATCATGTTCCGGCTTTGCAGACAGCCAACATATTGGGTAACACTGCTGGTAGGTATATTACACACTTTTGATTTGCTGTGCAAAAAATATGGTAGGTTTATTAAATTAACACTGTTCTGGCAATGTTTCAGCTAATCAGTGGAGTTGGCATGGGCCCTGTATTAGCTCTGAAATATTTCAGATATACATACAGACCTAGTGCTATTAACATTCTTCAGAAGGCTGAGCGATCACGTGGGCCAATGTACACACTGGTAAACCTGGAGTCTCAACTGAGATCAGATATGGAGAACACGAACATTTCCATTTCAACACCACCAGTGAAGAACAAGAATTCTGTTTATGAGCCCTTACTTTCGGAGTCACCCATTTCTTCCCGAAGATCTTTAGTGTCATCCTCATTTGACATATTTCAGCCAGCACAATCGAGGACCACATCCTCTTTCCCCAGAAATATCAAAGCAAATTAATCTTTCCTGGTGGTTGTAGCACAGATTATACCCTCAGTAGTATTGTCAGAAGAACAAAGACCAAAAAAAAAAAAACCTCCAAAAAAGGAGGCAAAACAATATAAATTGAATTAGATATGATGTACAGAGCCGTAAAGGATTTGTTTGAAATGTCTAGGAAATAAACAGGAGACTGATAAGTGAAGGATTTTGTCTTATCACGCTAATTTATCAACATAGTTCACATATAAGGATGCTCAATGTTGATGTCAGATATAATGAAACTAACTTGGTGCTATAAGTGTTGCTATTTTTTTTATAAACTTGATCAAACTTTTAAAATTTTTTGACTTATAAAAATTCAAAGCGACTTATAATATGAAATGAATATGAAATGAAGGGAGTACATATTATTTATTTTAGAAAAACGCTTATGAAATGAAGGGAGTTGATATTAATATATGTGTAACCTTTTTTTTTTCAGATATGCCCCTGAGTGTGTTTTGAGCTGATTATTCCTAGCTCCAAGGAATCATGTGGTTGGCGTTAGGGCTAGACGAGGGTTGTTAGAGAGATTTTAGTTTTACAGAGGTGACTGATACCTCTAATTGTAACCATGTTATCTACTAATTAATTAACTAAGAGACAATATTAATTAATTTACTAAGAGACAATATGTATAACATGTAGTATTAAAAAAATATGTACTACTATAACCTCAATCAGTCTCGTTCTCTCTTTGCACCTTCTTACGGTTTGGGTAGAGGTTGTCCTTTATACTAGCGGTGAGTCATCCTCCATCTTTTCTCCTTCATCTCATCATCTAATTTTATATGGCACTTTTAGAGGTTGCACTATATGAAAACGGATGGATAATGCTCATATCATAGTTGTTTTTTTTTTTTTGCCAGATATGAAGATGATTAACTTACATGACGAGTACGTACTGCAATATCATGCAATTTGAGCCTTGCTTGAAATCAAAGACCACATGGTGGAGCTCACCCACCATCAGTCAACTGCCGCTCGTCGTTGGCCACCCCGCGCGCCGCTTGCCGTCCGCCACCGCGCCCGGCGCCGGCGAGGTGGACGGCGACGAGTGGCGGGGAAGAGGAGATCGACGACGAACGACCCGATGATGAAGATGACCCGACGACGACCCCGCGACGGAGACGACGGCGATGACCCCGCGACGCTGCGTCTCGCCCACGCTGCTCGCTATCAGCCACCAGCGGCGACGGGTGGAGGGAGAGGGGTGGCGGCGCATTGGGATGGAGGAAAGAAGAGAGGAAGCGTTGAAGACGAGAAGAGGAGAGGAGGCAACAGCGGGAGAAGACAAGAAGAGCGGGTGAAGAGACAGAAATGAGAAAGAGGAGAGAAAGAGGCGTGGGTGGGCTGGCTGGGCTAGAAGGTAGGGGCAGGGGTGGCATTTTTCACCTGGGGCTACCTTGGGCCGGAGATACCCTGTTGTGGGCTAAAGTATCTTCATCAAGTGGTCTTAGATTTTGAAGAACCTATTAGGGTTATCCTCCACTAAGAGATAAGTTTCCTAGAGATTACCTTGAGTTAGTGAGGATACTCTTAAAATAGCTTTGGTTGTAGATGCCCTAATCCAGACGGAGGCCTGTTAATCCATACCTGGCCACATGCGTAGCTCAGCCCTCCGCCTCTCTAACACCCACACAGCCATGAACATGAGCGTGATTGGACGGTATCGACGGTGCAGCAACAAACTAGCGACGAGCCGATGAGGAATGAATGGATTGTACGTGTGGGCACCAATAAACGTGGACAGGGACTTTTTTTTTTAGCTTTTTTTATTTATAACAAACCGTCCGACTCAACGCGAGAAAAAAACCAGTGTTTATAAAAAAATTCTGGTTATAAAAAAATCATCCGACTTAACGCGAGAAAAAAAACCACCGTTTATAAAAAAAAATATGGTTCGGCACCGTGCAATGCAAAAAGAAAAAAAACCATCCGATTTGAGTAAAAAAACATCCGATTCCAAAAAAAAAGATTTGTACTCCCTCCATTCCAAAATATAAAACACAACCACTCTTACCCCAAAGACCAATAAATAATTATTATCACCTCATAGTTTGAATTACCCTAATAAATAGAATGCATGCACCCAATAAAATTAGAGATCTTGATGGTGGATGATTTAAATAATAATATTTTAGTGGAAAAGAGGTGCTAGTTAATGAGATGCATGCATACATATTTTATATTATGAAACATCTTTAAAAAATAGTTGTGCCCTATCTTAATATGTGAAAGCAGCAAGCTTTCTTAAAAAATGATGAGCCACGTCATTAGAATTACAAGAACCGTCCGATGAAATTGGTAGAAGAATGTAGACCGTTGGATTATTTACGAGGTGATACGTTGGACCAATCATGGGAGACTCAGATCAACCGGGAAGTTTCTGGACAAAAGGCCCTTAGCAGCAGCAAACTCACGTTGATAGTCAAATAGTCTAGGGAAAGACAATACGAAAATTTTCATAAACACAATACTTCACAGTACACAAATATAGAAGATTATCTCAGTAGCTCGCAGTGGCAGAGTATCAATTTTTTCACTTCCTCCATCTATCTTTAATATTTGTTATAAAATATATATAGCTACCACTTCACATATTCCTTCATTTCAACTAATTACAACAATCTTATATTTATTTATTTTTCCTCTACTTGATTATCTCAACCAAATATAAACTTCACCCTTTCTGTAAAAAAATAAAAACAGAGCATGACCTTCCCGTTTAATTTTATTACCCTCTTCTTAATTAATTAATCGCTTCAAAACATATACATATAGCTACTCTCTCTATCTACAGATATAAGCATTACATGTATTTAAAATTCTCCCGCAAATATAAGAATTTATACAGTACTACTTGCCCATCAATTTCACCTCCCATTCAAAATTATTTTCTACTCCCAACTAGACAACTACTGTCTCAACTCCAACCATTCCTTAGTAAGTAAAGGAAATAAAAGTCTTCGCTCGATCTTAATCTTTGTTAAACAAAATAAAAATTATTATATTTGAGAACAAAGAGAGTAGTTTCATGAAACCTGTCATGTAATTATCAAGAACATTAGTCCACTAATATACCTAGGTTATGCCGGTACTTAGAGTCGCGCGAAGTGCGACGAAGTGGCTAGTATTATGGAATGGAGGGAGTAATGTTTTTATCATTCATCGTATACCACGTCGGTTTGGTTTTTCCAAAGCGTTGGTCGAATTTTCTGATAATCGGATCTAAAACAAGTCTTGCTTAGATTTTTTAATCTTAGAATGAGATCAAGTTGATGGATGCTTGGGTCTGGTAGGATCCATCGATTTTTTTTCCATCTATACGTCTTTTGATTTCTCATCTATTCTCCTATATTGGAGGTCATGTATGTCTCTGTTGACAATTATCAGACTACTTTTTTAGATATAGCTACTATTCTTATAACATATTATATGGAAATAATATGAAAAAATAAACATGTTTTTAAATTGTTATTCAGAGTGAAGTGCACGGTGGTTACCTGACCATGCGAGACAATGTAGGATTTGATTGGTTGCAAGAATGAGATTGAAACAATATTTAGATTATATGCATGCTGCCACATGAATAATCTAATTCTTTTGGGCAAAGCAAGCATTGGTAAGATTGTCATCGCCGAGGTTGATTTATTAAATTGAAGATGTTCCAATTTTTCTTATGAAGCCTTAGATATAACGATCGATACAAAATATTATCATTGACATGATTATACATGAAAAGCGTATATTGTCATTAGATTTTTTTTTATCCGTTGCAACGCACGAGAATTTTGCTAGTCATCTTAAAAATATCAGCACACAGCTATCCAAGTATATCCATTCATCTATCTGTTTATAACACAATACCACAATATAGGGGGATTCTAAATGTCCAGAAATCATTAAATCATAGTCAATTCCCAAACTACCCTTGTACAGGGAAATTAAACCCAGGCTGCCCTCCAATTAACTCTGCCCTGCTTGCTTTTGCTCGCGCTCCCGTTCTCTGCTACGTACGCCCTGCACAAATCGTCTCAGGTTGCGCGCCGCCGTGGCGTCCCCGTCAAACTCGGCGTCGTCGGCGGCGGCGTCCAGCGCCATGGCGGCGCGCGCCTTCCATGTTCTTGCGCGCCGGCGTATCGCGCGGGCGCCGTCGCTGTCCCCCATGACGGCGTCGATGCCGCGTGAGAGCTCCGACGAGAGCACGGTGCCGTCGGCCGCGGTCTCCGCGCGCACGCCGACGCCCCACCGCGCCTCGGCCATGCGCGCGTTCGTCGCCTGGTCGGACCACTGCGGCGCCATTACCGCTGGCACGCCGCACGCGACGGTCTCCAGCGTCGAGTTCCACCCGCAGTGGGTGACGAAGCACCCCACCGCCCGGTGCGCCAGCACGCGCGCCTGGCTGCACCACTCCACCACCATCCCGCCTGCCGGCGGCAATAATCCGGTGGCCGCGCCGCCGCCGCCGCCGCCGTCGCGGCTGTCGCGCCGGACCACCCAGAGGAAGGGCCGTCCGGTCACCTCGAGGCAGTGGCGTATCTCCTCCAGCTGCCTCGGCGAGAGCACGGCGAGGCTGCCGAACGCGACGTACACGACGGAGGCGTCCCGCTGCTTGTCGAGCCATTGCATGTAGCCTGCGTCGTCGTCTTGCTCGAAGAGGTCGCCGCCGCCGTCGGCCTCCGTGTCGGTGACCATGGGTCCAACCGGGATGAGGTCAATGCCGGGGACGGACGCGAGCGCCTTCGGCTCGAGCGCGTCGAAGGTGTTCACAAGCACCCACGGCTTCGCGCCACTCTGGCCATGGGCATGGCACGACGCGGCGGCGGTGGCCTCGACGACGTGGAACATCTCCCGGAAGGCCGGGAGGTAGGGGCTTGACCCGGTGAGCAGCGACGGGAGGTCGCGGGCGCGGAGGAACTCGAGGCCGGGGACTTGGACGCGGCGGTTGGGGTCGTCCCGGACTCCGGCGGCGGCGTCGACGAGGCCATGGCGGCCGTGGAAGTAATGGTAGTAGACTGAAAGCACGGCCGCCGGCATGGTCCAGAAGAAGTACGCCGGCACGTCGAGGTCCCTGGCGACGGCGGCGGCGAACGGAAGGAGCAGGGTGTACACGACGCACGTCACGGGCCTCCCCCGCGCGCGCAGCGCCGCCGCCAGCCGGGCCAGCGACGCCGGGCCGACGAGCTGGAGCCTCCCGACGAACGCCGCGCCGTCGCACCGCTCGGGCTGGAACCCGTCGTCGAACCCGTCGGTGAACGCGGCGTAGTCGACGCCGGCCCCGTCCGACAGCACCACGGCCCCTTCACCGGCGGCTGCGCCGGCCGCCTTCCCGGGGAACATCCTCCTCAGCGCCGACAGCGGCACGGCCAGCGTGGCCCTGATGATCACCCCAGGCTCCGCCGCCGCCACCAGCGCGCGCGCCAGCCGCCTCGCCGGCGTGATCTGCCCCTGCGCCGCCCCCGACACGATCAAGAAATGCATCTCCTCCCTCCCTCTACCGCCGCCGCCGCCGACGACGACGACGCTCGATCACGAGCCAAGCACAGGTGTTCGACACCAGAAGCGCTAGTTTTTGCTGGGGGTGACAGCTCGTGACACTTGTACGCGCGCAATTCGTTGTGGCGGGAAGCGATGTGAAGCTAGGAAGCTTGGCGCGGGGGCCTTTTAATGGCGGGAGGGCGGCCGGGGCGGGGGGGCCGTGGCTTATACGGCGGCGGATAGTTTATGATATCCGCGCGCGGTGGGCCAGGCGAAATCGGTGGTCCGCACGCCGGCGACACAGTGGTGGTGGTGGCGGCGGCGGCGGCGAAGGAATGTGAATTTGCGGCGGTGGCAGCGTTGAGCTGTAGGCGGCAGCGGGAAGATGTCGGTGGCGGGAGAGGTAAGAAAAACGCGGCAAAGGAGTCGATCGGTTTTGGTTTAGAGCGCTGGGTGCTGTGTATGTCCTCCTACCGTCCTATGTCCCAGTGCTTTGAACTCTTCTCTTCCACCGGTTACTTAGTCTCTCCTTTCTTGTTGGTTTTTTTCTTCCTTTTTTTTTAAAAAAAAGAAGTTTTTTTTCTTATACATGGTTTTCCTCTATATTTACATCATGGCCAAGAGAAAGGGTTGCTACATATGTCGCCCCTGGTTTTCTTAGTATGGATCTTAGTAGGTTTTTTTTGCCTAAACAGTTGAACGGTACAATCCTTTAAAAAATATAGAAAATTTGTTTTAAAAAATCATATTAATGTTATATTTAAGTTTTTTTAAGCTAATAGTTAATAAATCATGCGCTAATCCGTTGTTCTGTTTTACTTGCTGAGGAGGAAGGATTCCCAACACTCTCTAAAGAACGAGCATCATTTGGTTAGTGGTGATGTGCGACCTTCACTGGGGTTTTAGCCGCTTTTTTAAATGACTATGTAGGTTTAAGTTTTTATCGGTCTGGTTTTTCTTATAAACTCAATCATTTCTCTTCTTTTTATTAATAGAAAGGAGGAACTCTATGTACTTTTGGAGGTCGCTTTGAAAAATTTACTGCAGTACTTATCAATATATATAAGCTCATGTTAATAAGCTTTTAAAATTTAATATCAACATTGTGTTAAGTAGTTTTCAATAGATAAAAATTGTTTTCAATTTCACAAATACGCCACAACAACGATGAAAAGAAATTTAAATAATCCACTAGGAAACATTATAAGTACGTTTTATTTTCAGTACATACGTCAACATATATGAATAGTTTTATCACTGCAAACGATTTTAATACGTCTACATAAATAAATAGTTTTATCACTGTTTTGCAAATATAGTGGCTCTAAACTGGCCCTATGGCTACTTGTGATGATTGAAGAAGCTGGTGTTATGTGTATATCATACGTACGAACCACCTAGGATATATGGACACGAACTACATCAAGCTCTATGTGCATGAAAACTGACCAGAGACCTACATATGACTACTGTTCATTCAGATTGTATGTCTTCAGTTTCCAACCGCTTCATCTGTCTCCCTGTGTATGTGTGGGCAGTAGTCATTCTTATTTAGATAGATGTTACTATATGAGTTGCAGGAAAGTTGTATGATAATAAGTAAACAGTAGGTAAATAATAAAATTGCTTTATATCTAGACAATTTGACTTCACATGCTTACACAATTCCATCTTCCATGAATCGTCCAATGCTATAAATATATTTGATGTGATTCATAACAGAGAATAGGTAGACAATAGGTACTGAAGGATCTAAATGCTCGAAATAATTTGAAGTGATCCTCCAATGCAAGAATATAGATATATAGTTAAATTAGAGACAACACGATAGTATATCAACAATCCTGATGCTAAAAATGATTTGAGGTTTGATTGTGGTTGAGATGATTAGTGGTTATATCTTGTGCGTCATATCAATTGTCCTTGTGTTCCAACTGGATTAGGTGCTCTCTCCATTCGAAAATACAGCTGAAAATATAGTTTATGTAGTTCAAAATTTAAACTACAAATGTAGCTGTATTTTAAAACAACGTAAACGCGCGGCTAGTTGGAACAAACTTTTCCCAATTAAATTTCAAGGAATGAAATGGAATGGATAACGGGCCGGGTATACTTAGCTCCCCTTAAATGGTAGTATGATTTTGCTGCAAAACTTTTTTATATATGAAGTACTTAAAATATTTTTAAATTGCATTGATCGTTTGTATATATCATCGAATAAATTATTCAATTCAGCACAAATAACACAACGTAACACCGGTTATACATTTCGGACACTCCTAACACCCCCCTTGTTTCATATTATAAGTTGTTTAACTTTTTTTTTTGTCAAACTTTGTTAAATTTGATCAAGTTTATAGAAAAATTTAACAACATTTAAAACATAAAGTTAGTTTCACTAAATCTAATATTGAATATAGTTTGATAATATGTTTGTTTTGTGTTAAAAATACTATTGTATTTTTCTATAAATTTAGTCAAATATAAATAAGTTTGATTAGAAAAAAGATCAAACGATTTATAATATGAAACGAAGCGAGTATACTTTCCCACACGATGTCATGTCTTTTATTGAGCGTCCTGACAAAACATGCAGACCTCCAGATCGTCTGTTGGTTCAAGCAAACCTGACTAGCCTGGCCAAACTGGACTGTACGTAGAGTTGTTCCAACTTCCAAAATGGCATTTAGTTTGAGATTCGCCAATTTAGTCCATTATTTCTCTCAAAATTCAAACCATATCAAGTCTATGACTTTTTCTATACAGATCACAACTATATATTCCTAGATGGCTAGCTAAGTTTACATCAAGCGACTATGTTCGACTCCTATAAAACCAAGAAAAAAGATTGAGCTCTATCCGTTCCCAATTATATATACTTTCCTCCGTGTTTCACTTTCACATGTGGAGCAAGATATGGTTCTTAGCTTTCTCTATCCAGTTTTTGCCACTATGTACACTTTTTAAGGTTATAAGCAAAGTCCAACGGCATATTTGTGGTAACTCCTTATGTATGTTAAGACAAACATTGTTCTTACCATGTTATCATTACTCACCTAAGGATATGCTCTTTTAAGGTGGAGTATTGGGAAATTGAGAGAAAGTGGTATATAGGTCAAGTCAACTCATAATGTCATATATGAATATATTAACACCTACCAATATCATATTCCGAACTAAAATTTAATGATGGCATATCTCAAAACTGTCATATTCGTTGTGACATATAGAGTTTCCTTTTTATTTTGATTTACTTTGATGATCGATTTCCCTTTGAGACGACACAAGTACTCCATGAATATAAGCATTTTGAGAATTTAAAATTTGTCCACTCGAATATGAAGATTCCTATAATATACTTATCCTAACAATTACCTTTCATTTATTTTTTCCAATCTTACCTCTGAGCACCCACCCATACCCTAATTATCTCTCATTTGACACTAAGTTTTTTTTTCCGAATCTTAATCTATGCTAAACAACTTAAAACGGGACTACGAATCCGGGACTAAACCATTTTTAATCCCGGTTGAAATATCCGGGACTAAAAATAGATATTTAGTGTTGGTTCATAACACCAACCGGGACTAAAGATTTAGTCCTGGTTGGTGTGTTTTTTTTCTTTTCTCATGCCTAATATCTCCAAATCATTAAAAAATAGTAAATCACAAATCACAGATTACGTTCACACATATCACACATCACAGATCGTTCACTAATCTCAACATCCCAAATCATCCACAGCAACAACCCAATATCTCAACATCCCAAATCATCCAACAACAACAAACCACAGATCATTCACACATCATTCTCAAATCACATATCAAATCAACAAACAATTATTCACATTATTCACACAATTGGAAGGAAAAAAGAAAAAAAAAATCTATGGAGCCTGCCACCGCGTGGCATTCCGCGCTGGGCCGCCGCCTCCCCAGCCCGGCTCGGGCCCGGCCGCCGCCGCCTCCCCAGCCTAGCTCGGGCCTGGCCGCCGCCGCCTCCCTAGCCTACCTCGGGCCCGGCCGCCACCACCCCTGCCTAGCATGAGCCCGCTGCCACCAACCCCGCCCGGCACAGGCCCGGGCGCTGGCGGCCGCTTCTCCCACGGATCTGAGGAAGAGAAGAGAGGAAAACTTAACAGAAGAGTGGAAGAGGAAGGGGAGAGGAAGAGATGAGTGAAAGAGGAAGGTGAGGAAGAGATAAGGGAGAGACAAAGGGTGAGGGGAGGAAAAGATAAGGGTGAGGACTCAGATGCGGAGAGAATGATGGAAGAGAGAGAGAGAGAGAGCGAGACGTAGGAAATTGATTTTTAGACCTAGTTGGTATAAACAACCGGAAGACCTGCCACATCGTGACGATGAATAAACCGAGACAAAAGATGATCTTAGTCCCGATTGGTAATACCAACCGGGACGAAAAGATCATTGCACTTTTAAACAGGGACTAAAAATATTTTTTTAGTCCCGAATTTTTAAGCAACCGGGGCTATTGTTGTTTTTAGGCAATTGACTAAAGATGGTTTCTCCAGTAGTGGCATTGACTCTATACAATACCTCAACAACAATCCATTGACAAAATATATATGTTAATGATGGCCAATGATGACAAATTAAATTATCAATATTATTATGTTAAAATATATTTTTATTTTTTTTCAAGGCTGTTGTCCACCGGATAGGTGGGTCCCCTAGGGAACAGCACCCAAGCCAGCACGTGCAGTGCCTCAACATACATTGCACATGAACTTGGAACCACATATGTGCTACTTAATTTATGCTTTTACAGGTGCATCCAAGTTGGTGAATACCACTATAGTGTCGTGTAGGCTCTGACAGCCACTCGTTGGGGACAACCGGTTTAGCAAACCAGCCAGGTTTCTCTGTCCCTGCCAATAAAGGTTGTGCTTGTCACTTAGCGTGCAATACGCATGGCTTGATCACTCCTGTCGTCTGGAGTGTAGGCAAGTGTCCCAATTGCGTTTGTACATCACATATTTATTTATTTATTTTTGTTGTTACCCTGTCAACCATTAGGTGTGATCTGTATTTTCAGAGGTCCCTAAATCAAATAATTAATGGTCATATGAGAGAAGACAAATAGATCTCGATCGCGTGTACACATCCTGAGGTTTATAGTATTAAAAGCTAACAAGGACAACTACTAAAAATAGTTAGACGGGTCCTGATAGATACTTCCTCCATTTCACAATGTAAGTCATTTTAGCATTTCTCATATTCATATTGATGTTAATGAATCTAGATAGATATATCTAGAATATGAATATGAGAAATGTAAGAATGACTTACACTGTGAA